CCCCACACCCGGGGATAGAACCCAGGAGTCCTGGATCCCAACCCCCCCCCCTCGCTCTAACCACTAAACCCCACACCCGGGGATAGAACCCAGGAGTCCTGGATCCCAACACCCCCCCCTCGCTCTAACCACTAAACCCCACACCCGGGGATAGAACCCAGGAGTCCTGGATCCCAACACCCCCCCCTCGCTCTAACCACTAAACCCCACACCCGGGGATAGAACCCAGGAGTCCTGGATCCCAACACCCCCCCCTCGCTCTAACCACTAAACCCCACACCCGGGGATAGAACCCAGGAGTCCTGGATCCCAACACCCCCCCCTCGCTCTAACCACTAAACCCCACACCCAGGGACAGAACCTAGAAGTCCTAGCTCCCAGACCCCTCCCCCTCTCCTTGCTCTAACCACTAGACCTCACGCCCAGGGATCCTGTCTGCCAGTCCCTCCCTGTACCTTGCTCACAGAGCAGCACGTCAATGTTGGGGGGGATGCTCAGGGCCCGGTTCGCGATGTGCTTCAGCAGGGTGGTTTTGCCCTTCCTGCAAAGGGAGGAAAAGGGTTAGGCAGGGAGGCCGAAAGCACAGCACCCCCTAGTGGTGCCCAGGGGCCAACCTGGATTGCGATGGGAAAGCATGAAGATGGAGGGGAGGGGGGGGGGAATCCATCCATGTACCTACCCGTTGGGTCCCACCAGGCCGTACCGACGCCCGGCCACGATGTACAGGTCTGCATTGACGAAGAGCTCCTTGCCGTGGGCTGAGATGCTGAACTTCTCCAGCTATAACGGCACGGGAGAGAGATCGGGAAAAGACGGTATGACCCTCTCGCCTCCCCCCGCCAGATGTGCCAAATGGTGTGACCCATTGTGTTCCCCTCCCGGCCACCCCTGCCATCTCATGGTATGACCCGCTCCCCACCCAATGGAACAGTGCCGCCATAAGAGCGGCCATACTGGGTCAGACCAAAGGTCCGTCTAGCCCAGGGTCCTGTCTGCCGACAGTGGCCAATACCACGTCCCAGAGGGAGGGATCACAACAGGTAATCGTCACGCGATCCCTCCCCTGTCACCCACCTCCAGAGAAACAAAGGTTAGGGGCCTATCCTACCTATCCTGGCTAATAGCCATTGATGGACCTAACCTCCGTGAATCTCTCTAGCTCCTTTTTGAACCTTGTTAAAGCTCTAGCCTTCACCGCATCCTCTGGCGAGGAGTTCCACAAGTTGACTATGCACTGAGTGAAGAAAAACTTCCTTTTGTGTGTTTTAAACCTGCTGCCAATGACTTTCACTTGGTGACCCCTAGTTCTTATGTGGGAATTAAATTAATCACTTTTCCTTATTTACTTTTTCCACACCAGTCATTATTTTATAGCCCTCTATCCTATCCTCCTCCCCCCCCCAGTCTCCTCTTTTGGTTGGACCTATTCTGAAAAGTTTCAGCAAGGTGACATTTTTAATTACAGATTAATCTTTAGCTCCTGGATGCTCCATGACAGCTGTGCAGAATAGGCAATCCTACCCCCAGTATCTCTTGGTACAATCCACTTCCCCTCTCATATAATTGTGCAACCCACTCTTTAGGTGGTAGCACCCATTCCCCCTCCCATATGACAATTGTGCCACGCACTGCCAGATGGTACAACCTATAGCCCCTGCCATCTCATAGTACGATCTACTCCCCCTTGCATCCCAGACAGTAGTCCACTCCGCACACCCCTAGCAGGTGGTATGATCTACATCCACCCCCCTCTTACTACATGGTTCAACCCGGTCTCCCACCCAGCCTAGTACAACCCAGCCCCCTCCACTCCCCATTGACAGAGGGGATGGGCTTAACCCCTTCCATGCTGCTGCTGGTCCACCTTGTAGTGGGAAATACCAACTCCACCAATGTGTGGGGTGGGGCGGGGAGGGGATATAGAAAAGGAAGGAGTGAAATAAGAGGAAATTAACTCCTTGCATGCTGCAGCTGAAGGACAAAACCCCCCCCAAAAAAAACCCCCAAAAAAACCAGAAGGCAATATACCAGGGAACCCTGACAAAATTTCGGGAATCGAGAGGAACGTTCCAAATAAACTCTGGGGACGGGGGGGGGAGGCTGTACCTTGATGTCGGAGGCATTCTCCAGCATGGCCTGGCGCGAGGAGATCTCTGCCTGCGACACCGAGAAGTCGTTCTCCGCCGCACTGGCCGCCTTCAGCGTTGCCACCTGCCGCTCGAACTCCC